CCCCCCCCCCGAATTTCTAGTTTCCTTTTTTTTTTTTTAAGTAGAAACACGAGAGAACCATGTTTGGAGTGGATAATTACATGTGGCCACACAGAGGAAGGGAACCATTTTTTGTTCATCTGTGTTGAAAATTTTCACAGTAAGTGTCTATGAAAAGCTCTCTGTCCTTAGCTGGTAAATGAGTTTCTATTTTTGTTGATAATTTACAAAGTTGTTTTCAGTATTACCAGCTTTTAATCATCCACGGATGGGAAAGTACCAGGCAACATGGAATTTTCCATTTCTTTCTTATTCCAAAGTTCCAGGCTGAAATGCAGCTATGCATCTTTATTGAAGGATAGAAGCAAAAGACCGCAGCTGGAGAAGGGATCTCCAGGCAAACCGCCTCCATTTGCATGAACACAACTCTCGGCTCCGCTGTGCTGGTGGGGACCACTCTGTATGGACTGCAGAGTTCCCAGACCCGGACCACCGTGCTGGACTTTTGCTAATGCCAGGAGCTGGCTTCTGTTCTGTCCCATTGGGTTCTGACCGCGGTCAAGAGCGCTGCTTAAGGTTGTGAGCTTTCCTTTGAAGAGACTACAACAGAAACGCAGGCTGGGCTACTCACCCTAACCTTACCCTCTCGGTATGGAGTGAAATGTGGACAGGAGCATTGCCTGGAGTTTCTCTGCTTCTCCAGCCACATCCTCATGAACAAATGAATTCCTGAGTACTGCATTTCCCAGGTACTATTATGTGGACTAATTTAGACAAGATGGTCCTAAGATAGCCATTTTTGTACATGATTTTACCAGTGATGAAGGGCTGGGCTGGGCTGGACACCCCGGCTGCAGTCTCCTGAAAGCAGCAGTGGGCTGGGCAGAGCTGGACAGCTGGCCCTCGGGGGGCTGTGTTGGCTCTGCAGGTCCTTCGAGTGCAGCACCTGCTCTTCCTCCATGGGCTGAACTGGATTCTGCAGAGCCATGCTACATTGCTTTCATTCATTCTCTGATAATCATGCTCAAAACACTCACAAACCCAGAGCGGTATGGCTCTGGACACAGGTTACTCACCTCAGTTGGAAGAATAAAGCAGATTTACTGTGTTGCACTGTGGGTACAGAATACTGCATGGGGTTCATTAGCATCTGCATCAATGGTTTGTGAAATCAGCAATAGATACTTATTAAGGGTCTATTTCGTCTATAAGAAAATTGAAGTTATATCTATTATGGTTTTAGTTCTTAAATTTTTGTAGAAATTTAGTTTATTTTTACAGATTATCCTCATGCTCAGGTAGACAAGAACTGCTTGACACATTTGTATCCATGTGTATGGATGTGCGCACACTTGTATATCACACTTCAGTGTCAACTGATGACAACCCTGACAAAAGTCTTCATTCTACATTTACCATTACGGCTCGATTGATTATTGATTGGTGGTACTGGAAATCCATTTGCACTGAGCTATGTCACCAGCGACGGTTTTGTTCAGCGACGGTTTTATTGTGAGACAGGGTCCCTGGGTGAGTTAGCCCCAATGTGCCACAAAGGACAAGGTGCCGTTCCTTGGAATACTTACAGCATGGGTCTGCAATAGTGTATTTTATTTTTCCTATTACATGAAGCATGAACACCTTCCCACACTAGCTTGGCATTGATGGAAGTCAGCCAGGTTTCAATAACTTAGATCAACCTCTGCTATTAGTTTGACCAAAATGGGCAAACAAGAGTGCAGCACAACCAAATCCACCAGCACCTGCGACTTGTGTCAGTAGCACGTTTCCCACTGTTGGAAAATACACAGTATCCTTTCCAAGCTAAAACCAACAGGAGGTATGTTACAGAGAGGCTCAAATGCTTCCTTACCATCATCATGATTCAAACGATAGCTGAGGAGACCATTATTGAGAAGCACCAATCAACCCTTTAATTTATTTGCAAATAAATATCTATACTTAGCCAAATGAATATCTGGCTATGGTTCTGCATGCAATAATGCAGGGAACTGCATGTAGAGAAGTGACTCATTTCTACCATAGTCCACTACCAGGTGGCCAACTCTTTCTCCCCTGTCATTCCTTACTGGGGAATATTTAACCCCACCCCTCTTTCCTGCACTCTAACATTTGCAGCTGGACTAATCAATGTTTCTATTTCTCTGCTTGGTGAGTCTTCCTTGCATGCAGTGCATACTTTTTCACCCACTATTGCTTGGTGACTTACATTTGAATTCTGCTTTGGCAAGTGTCCTTACCTCATCTTCTATCACCACGGTAATATCCATGCCACCCCGCTGAACTGGGCCTCTTCCTTGACACCAGAACTGAGTTTCCAGAGAGTTCACATGTTAGTGACTATTGGGCAGGCTCAATTCCGAATCAAGCTGAGTGCTAGGATTATTTTCTTTCTCACAATCCAAGACGTAAACCAAGGGCCGTCCAAGAGGACTGACTCTGTAATGGAAGGTAAGTGTAATTTTTTTCCTTCATGCTAGTAACCATTAATATTGCTCGGTGCATCACCTTGGGCCACAATTACTTTTGAAATATTTTGAATTAGCTTTTTGTCTTTACAATAAATTTCTAAGTTCTTTTTTCCCCTTTGTTGTTAAAATTTATCTGCAATTTGGGTCTTCCATACCTTAGTTCACTTAGCCAGCTAAATCTTTTTTCCACCTAGAACCATCTTTCTTACGCTTCTCTCAGCATCTTGTTACAATAATCAGACATGCTGCCTAGTGCACGGTACCAACTCCGGGAGTAAAGATTTTAATAAGAAGTAAGCTTTGACTGAGCAATATGAAATGATTATAAGGATCCTATCAAAGTGCTGTGATTCTCACAAAAGTTACATATTGAAATATGAATCTACATGAAAAACACAGGGTCCACTCCTGTCCAAATGGACTGCTCTTTGGAGAGCTGTAGGAAGGTTCATCTAGTTTTAGATATTGGAGGAACCAAAATGTATTCTAGTTTCAAGGAACTCTTTCTTAGGTTGACCAGAGGGTACTGGATTAGTTTCTAACCTGTACATTCATGAGTTTTCAAACAATGCTAAATTTGACACCATTTAATCAGAACTACCCTTGACATGCTTTTGAAAAACAGAAGGAAAATTGGGATTGGATATCATTTGAGAGTAGCATTTGATTAGCTCATTAATCTTATTAGTTGACTTGTCTCCTTTTCAGAACTCTGAGTTGTACCACACTACGGAATAATTAGTTTAAAAAGTGAAAACTGTGAATTGCCAACCCACTTCATGACATCTCCCACAGAAAGGGCTATTTTAAAGGCACATCCCAAACCCAGTGCAGAAATGAACAGTCCCTCCTCCCCCTGAAATGGAAAAGCAAAGTCCTTCCCCAGCCTCAGAGAAACCATTCTACTGTTTATAGGGTTACCTAAGTCCTTCTCCTCTCAGACAGAAATTGTAAATTCAATTTTGATAAGAGTGTCTGAGAGCTTTCTGAAGCATTCCTACATGGACTAGGGATTCCACAAAAATTTTTGTAAAAATACATGGTAGAAAAGTAAAATGGATTTCTAAATTGTGAAAAGGGAATGAGCAGAAATGCGAGCTGTGCTATCTGCCTACAAATCTCTTTCAGTGCCTTAAAGGCTGAGTTTAACCTTATCTCTTCAGCTTGCTAGAATCCAGGAATTCTACATTTCCATTCTCTGTTTGCAGGTGCTCAGAAGAGATCATGCAATGCTTCCCTTCTCTCCTAAAATGCTGGCATGCTGCTACACAATATTTCTCCCACAGCAAATCACCTTTTTGTGACTAAGCAGTAATGTACACACGTAGACATATATAAGCTTACACCACAGCTCCAGGCTTTAGAAGTGAGGGAAAGACACAATTAGGGTGTGGGTTCTGTGTTGCCTTTTGTCTTACTTCTTCTCAAGTCTGTGGCTTGCGGGCTTAGCTGCTAAACTCAGTTAAATACACTTTCCTGTCCCAACCCGGGTTCACATTTATTTTCTCCCAGCAGCCTACTGAAAAGTCAACTACTGTAAAGATGGAATTATCTTGTCAGAGATTGTAACATTAAATTACTCTAGGGAAGCATGCAGGTGCAAAAGATGTTGTTTTTTTCATGCAAATTCTGGGTTTCCAATCCAAACACAACTAAATTGCACATCTACCATGAGGACTAAAAATAACATTGATGCAGTCAGATTGTGTGTGTGTGTGTGTGTGTGTGTGTGTATTTAAATCCAACTCTGTAAAATGCATTGCTTTTGGATCAGAATAGATACATCTAACTTTTCTCAATGTCCTAGATTTTGATAATTTACATGTTAATCATTTCAACAGTACATTTAATGTTGATAGCACAGTTTTCTAATGTCAGTGTAGGAAAGCCAAGCCATTATGTTTAGAAATAAAAACTGATGAATATTACCAGGAGAATAATTACACAGAGAGCAGGGTATATTTTTTAGGCATCACTGATTTATTTTTCAGCACTTCTCTGTAATATAAGAACAACATTCTCAGTTCTTGTGAAATATTAAAAAATACAAAATATAACTCATGGTAATGTTATAAATGTCATTCACCAACACAAACTTCACGAGGAATATCAGCTTTCTTCCCTGCTGTATGATGTAAGAATATTCAGGACTAACTGTATGAAAATAGCTTTAGAGATTTAAGATTTAGGAAACAGCTAGCACTTTGCCTGGGAGCCGCTGTCCGTGATGAAAGAATGGAGGTTCTGGAGGCATGACCAAGAGCGTCCAGTGTGTGAGCCCGGCGGGACCTGCGGCAGTACACGCTGAGGACAGGGCTGATGTTTGAGGAAGACACCGTTTCTGCTTCAAGGGACATCTTCACACTTTCCTTCCAGGCAAAAGGAAGTTACAGGGAGAGAAGTAAATGGCTAAGTGTTTAAATGAGGTGTGTGTGTGTGTGTGTGTGTATGTGTGTGCAACTAAAGGGTAAGGAAATGTCACATTGAAACTTGCATATTTAATAAGAAATTAAGAGGGATGGTGATAACACGGGGGGGGGATTTAAAGGGAGAGTATTGGTAAACTCTTCCAAACTTGACACAGTGCATGATGATTAGATTGAGGAAACTTGCCATGTCTGGTGGATGGTTAAGTCTAATAAATTATCTGAGAGAATGTGCAGAATTTCAAACAATGGAAAAATATGCTGCAAGTGAAGAGGAAGAAAATATGGACAACTTTTAAAAGTTAAAGAAGCAAAGAAAACAATAAAACACAATTGAGAAACCTATGTAGTTGAGAGGAATGTTAGCAAAACATTTAGATAAAAACTGATTATTAAGAAGACTCTCTAGGTCCAGGGATTTAGCTCAGCGGTTCGGTGGCCTGCCTTGCAAATGCAAGGACCTGAGTTCAATCCTGGGTATCCCCCCACAAAAGAAGACTGTAGCTTCTTTTCATAGATTCCCATGGTTTGTTAAAATAAGTTAAAGATATCACTTCAGGAAAAAGCTACATGGTGCTTTTCCTCCAGCAACACACTTCCTCAAGAAGGGTGAAAATACAGTTTCAGTTCTACAGAAATAAAGCAAGAGGAGGCTGTGAGAACCACTGACCTGCAAATAAATGAGAACACTGCAAATTTTATCAGTCTTCCCTAGTTCTGCTTCATAAATATGTTAATACCATCTTCTAAAAATATAGACAGTATTGGAAATAGAAACAAAAATGGCAAATTATATTATATAGTTGGAAATAAAAAAATTAAAAGAAACTATTAAATAATTCACTGGTTAAAGAAGTAATGTTAATGGTACATTTAGAATGGAACAGCATTACACAAAATATTTAAAATTCAGGCCGCGGATTTAGCTCAGTGGTGCCGCCACCTGCCTCACAAGTGCAAAGTCCTGAGTTCAATCCCTGATCAAAAAAAAAAAAAAAAGTATTTAAAACTCAGAAAAAAAAATATGTTGAAAGGATTTATAATAAATATTAGCACTCTGGGAGGCTGAGACAGGATGATCACAAGTTTGAGTTCAGCCTGGGCACCTAAGAAATTTAACAAGGTCATGTCTCAAACGAAAAAAAAAAAAATGTTGGGAAAGAGCTCAATGTGAAGATTCTAGTTTCAATCCCCACTACTACAAAGAAACAAACAATGATTATGATAAAGAATAAGAAATAATAAAGAATTATAAGCGTCTTTCTACATTCAAATCATAAATCAAAACAGTAATCTGGTTGACAGTATAAAGAAAAGCGCATGTATCTATCAGAGTAGAATGTGATTATACAAAAACAGATATAAAAACTGGGGCACTTGGTTGTTTCAACAAAACTTCAAGTTTTTTTTAATTAATAAAAACAATAGAATTGCATTCACTGATGAAAGAACAAGAGGACAATTTTACAGACAGAAAAATAGATTAGCTGATACTTGATTTTGGAAATGACATACAAACAATCTTTTTTTTTCAGCTTTAATTGAGTTTATTGGTACATTTTAGGGATACAGTACAGTTACATTCATTGTTGGGATCTTGTACCTCTACATGACAAGTCTTGATTCTCATTTTTCCCCTTACCCTTGCCCTGCCTTCACCCCCTCCTCCCCTCTCCATCTCCAAACACTTTATTTCTATCTTTTCATTATCTCACATTTTTTTTCTTTTCCCTTATTACCCTTCCCCTACCCATCTCACCTTCCCTACACCTTTAGCTCCTTTCTTCCCATTTCTAAATGTCAGCAATCTGATTATGATCTTATGTATTATTGTTGATTATTCACACCAGGGAAACTATTAGGTATTTACACATGTGTGACATTTATTTCACTTAAGATTATATCTTCAGTATGTATCCATTTTCCTATGAATGCATCTATTTTCCCATTATTTATGGCTGAGTAATATTCCATTTTATAGAAAAACCACATCTTCTTTATCCAGTTTCCAACGGATGGGCAAATGGGCTGTTTCCAAGATTTAGCTATTACAAACTGTGCCGCTATAAACATGAGTGCACATACTTCTCTGTGATATGATTCTTTTAGTTCTTTTGGAAAGATACTCAGCAGAGGGATGGCTGGGTCAAATGGAACCTCCAGTCCAAGCTCTTTGAGGTATCTCCATATTGATTTCCATAGTGGTTGCACCAGTCTGCACTCCCACCAACAATGGAAAAGGGTTCCTTTCTCTCCACAACCCCGCCAACATTTGTTATTGTGTGATTTCTTGATAGCAGCCATTCTTTGTGGGGTGAGGTGGAATCTCAGTGTTGTTTTCATCTGCATCTCTTGAATGATCAGTGGTGTGGAACATTTTTTCATATATTT